CAAAGGGACCTCTGCGAAGCTTCGTTTCCGACTCTGTTTATCCACGGAATTTTGCCCTCCGTGCTGCGAATAACCGACAAGACAAATACCGCGGCACCCTGTGCAAATGCACGGTCGCGTGCATAATTGAAGAAAAAATTGGCGATCTGTGCTAACTAAATTAAAAGAGTATAGTTGAAGTAATTTCTACTATTTGTACGATTCTTTACGAGTAGACTTCGGATTTTCATGCGAATCAAAAATTTTCTAAAGCTGATTTTAGAAATCGTTACTTTAATAAAAATATCTTTCCTATTTTATGTATTTCAATAAATTGAACGGAGTAAAGAAATATTTTGAAATTCGTTTCATTATAGTTTTACGATTGATTTTACAGTTTTGCGTTTGACCCAGTCATTTTTGTCCAAGATGCACAAAATCCTATTTATGGCTTTATATTATGTTCGTATTATAAATCACGTAACTTTAAATTAACGTAACATTAAATTGGTTATCAATTTAACAAATTAAAAAATACGGCTCTCTCCTGTTGAAAGGATTAATGGACGATTGAATTGTTTAAATCGCTTAATTACAAACAGCAATCAATTTTGCGACACGCTCAGAATCTGCGATTTATAACTTATTTGAACATTTTAACCATGTCGGTCCTACTCTCCTTGGTATTTGCTCCTAATAAAAGTCTACCAATTCCTTTAAAATTTCACTTCTTCGTCTTACGTAAGAAGACAAAGACAAATTTCCCGCCGAAATCCGTAGCCGCCCGAAGGCAGAGCTTTCGATCGGAGGCCGTCAGAAAATTCGCCTACCTTACCCGACGCGACTGTAATACGTGGACCAAATTTGGTCGAATAGTTTCTTGGGGCGTCGGGAAGGCGTTTCGCCGAGATTACGGTAAACGTTCGGCATTTTCAACGATTGTTTCCGTGGAAACGGCTCCCGTAGAAGGACCATAACGGCGGCGCGGAGAACCTGAAAACCGAGTTCGCGTCGGGGAACGAACGGCGAAGCCCCGAAAGGAGAACTTCTTTGCGGCCGAGAAAGCAGACCTGCCAAACGTCTGTCGACCTCATCGACCATAAACGTCGCCTGTTTCTCCATCGCGGCGGGCCCGCAGTTTTTCAGAAATATCCGTGCGAAACCCGTGGTTTCGCAAGCGTCTCTCCCGGCCCCGGCCGCCAGGTTTATTTTCACGGCTTTCGGGGGCCGATACACAAAACCCGGCTCGGTATTTTACGACGACGCCTCGTTGCTCTCGTACGCGCGGGGTTCAACGAACTCCCCGGCTCAAGCACGGTTAACAAACTTGTTAAACGTGGACACCCGCTTTCTCCGCCATTCACGCGAGAGAGCTCGATGCTCTCCCGAGGGCCGAATTACCTTCGGCATTGACGGAACCACGCCTTTATGCGCTCCCAGTCGCAGTTTCTCACTGGATAAGTTCGGCCGCCTTGTCGCTTGTTCATCGAGATCCTGTTTCGTTGAGCGACAAGAGGATATTTCAATGGTCGATCCGCGTTTCTTAACCAGAAACGGTAGTCGTCCGTCGGCTGCCTCGATGTTCGATGGAAACTAACGAGGAAGGTTTCTCAGATGTTCCATTAGTTTTTTGTTATTATTCATTGATTTATTTATAGGCTGCTAAGGGCTACTAAGACCCTTTTAAATCGTACAGATGAAATACACATAATCCCGAACAAAATAAACAAGTTACAGAGAAGAAGATTTCAGGACGAATACGATGGAATTAGTATAATGGCTCGAGATGTCTCCAAAGAAATCAAGTTTTTCTATCAACTTCTAATCGCTCTTGTGATGCACTTTGATCTTGTGATGCACTTTGATCTTGTGATGCACTTTGATCTTTTGATACAGTTTTGAGAACCGGATGAGATTCTGTTACTAGCGCAATTCAGAAAGGTTCCGAATTCCTTAAAGCTCTATTGGAAACGTTGAGATTTATCAGCTCGAGAATGTTCTGAAAAACTGACGATTGAAAATTATGGTGTCCCACCTCCCATTCACTAATATGAGCATCATTCGAAATGAAGTCCGCGTCTGTCAACAAAATCGTGTCATCGTTTCGTGTAAATCTAAAGCAAAGACTTTGAATCAATAGCAGATTCGATCAGGAAACAAATTTTACGAAGTTTTTGCAGACGTTTCAATACGTAGCTTTTTTCGGAAGAAATCAATTTCCCACCGGGTAATAAAAATCGAAGATTTTTTCCCATAAAAGTAGAAGCTTCAAGCTTTACAATGAGGCCAGATTTATTATCGTGGGATTATTTTTAACGAAATTATGGCAGTTTAAATATCCATAGTTGGAAAAGTGTGGAAATACTTTTGCAGCCACTACACTAGACAAAAATCTGTAACTATAACGATACTCATTAACGAACTGTGGATTTTATGCAATTACGATAGAAATGATTAGGTGACACAGAAAATATTAAAGATTTTTAAAGATTATAATAAGGTAGTGTTCTATTATTTTCAATTTACCCAAATTATGTATATAGAGCAACGTTGTCCGAATGAATTGCGACAAGCAAAAGTTAACAAAAAATATGTTTATCGCATCAAAAGATCGTCTATTCGTTAACAAGACATGCCACCGTGTAGTCGCGAACAAATCGCATGCCCCATTAAAATGTCAAAAACGAACCTCTCGCTCGGACACTCTCGGACGGACCCGCATGAAAATGCAGCAAATAACGTGCAATATATGCACCGCTCCTTATAATACCCGGCACTTCGCCGAAGATGCGTTTAATAATCAATAAGCGAGTGGCCCCGCAGCACGCGAATTAATTTCCCCCTGTCGACGGGTAATAACAGGGTCGCTCTCGGAAAACCCGGAGAGCAAAACGTTTCCTAGACGGCGTGGCCGTTGTTGCATACACCGTTGCACCGGGTTTACGATGCACCGGAGGATCGCCGGCAGGGTGTGGCCGTTGTTCTCCGCCGCGGCGAAGTATAAATTTCGATCCTCGTAAACAAAAACGGACCTGCCGGTCCATTTATTATCGTTCTGATGGGGGTTGGAAGGGGGGGAGACACCGGCGCGGCGAGAGGAACCGATGGCCCGAAGCGACCTCGTCGATCAGGATGCAATTATCCGGGATCTATCGCGGTAGGAGGTCCTGATTCTGGGCCCTCTTCCGACTGGTAACCGTGACGGGCCGGTTTGTTGCTGTTCTAACGAGGCTTTGTTACACGACTCGCGCGTCTCGTATTCTCTCTCTCTCTCTCTCTCTCTCTCTCTCTCTCTCTCATTATCTCCGTCCCACTATTTTTCACGCTTTACTTCGCTCTCTTNTTGCGACAAGCAAAAGTTAACAAAAAATATGTTTATCGCATCAAAAGATCGTCTATTCGTTAACAAGACATGCCACCGTGTAGTCGCGAACAAATCGCATGCCCCATTAAAATGTCAAAAACGAACCTCTCGCTCGGACACTCTCGGACGGACCCGCATGAAAATGCAGCAAATAACGTGCAATATATGCACCGCTCCTTATAATACCCGGCACTTCGCCGAAGATGCGTTTAATAATCAATAAGCGAGTGGCCCCGCAGCACGCGAATTAATTTCCCCCTGTCGACGGGTAATAACAGGGTCGCTCTCGGAAAACCCGGAGAGCAAAACGTTTCCTAGACGGCGTGGCCGTTGTTGCATACACCGTTGCACCGGGTTTACGATGCACCGGAGGATCGCCGGCAGGGTGTGGCCGTTGTTCTCCGCCGCGGCGAAGTATAAATTTCGATCCTCGTAAACAAAAACGGACCTGCCGGTCCATTTATTATCGTTCTGATGGGGGTTGGAAGGGGGGGAGACACCGGCGCGGCGAGAGGAACCGATGGCCCGAAGCGACCTCGTCGATCAGGATGCAATTATCCGGGATCTATCGCGGTAGGAGGTCCTGATTCTGGGCCCTCTTCCGACTGGTAACCGTGACGGGCCGGTTTGTTGCTGTTCTAACGAGGCTTTGTTACACGACTCGCGCGTCTCGTATTCTCTCTCTCTCTCTCTCTCTCTCTCTCTCTCTCTCTCTCTCTCTCTCTCGCATTATCTCCGTCCCACTATTTTTCACGCTTTACTTCGCTCTCTTTCTCTCACTTAATCGTTTTTGGATATAGAAATCACGCTTAGAACAACTTAGATTCCCTGTTCAACGCTATTTTTACGGATATTTTGTATTACACAATTTATCGAATTAATTTTACGGTGACTATAGCAAAAATCGAGAAGCGAGTACATAGAAAAGCTAGAACACAGAAGATAATTTGTACCAAAAATTATTAAAAGATGTCCCCACGATGAGATGTGAACACAATTCTTTTTAATAGTTACAGCAATTAATTTTTTAACAATTACAACTGTTTCAAAAACTGTGATGTAAAATGTTTGGAAAATAGTTCTAACGTCAGATTAACTAATGAACACTTAATAAAATCGACATTTGTATAGTCGATAATTTTATTTCTATTTAATTCAATTTTATTTGTACAATCGATATTTGCCTAAAATAATCGTTAGTTATTCTTTCACATACAAAATAATCGTTACTTTGTAAAGAAATTTCTTTCTAAGGAATGATCGGATCACCGTAGACCACATCGACTGAGAAGCTTAATAAGAGATTAAACAAGAGAGATTAAATTCGATTACGCCTTTCGATCAGCGAGAACGTCTGTTAAACAATCAAAATCCGCTTACTCAATGACGCAAATATCCTCGGCCCTCCAGAAAGTCTTCGTTTTCGAATCACTTAACTTCTCCGGCGATTGAAGTTCGTTAGAATTTCAAAAAGGAGCCGAAAGCTCGCGAGAGACTGTTACGACTTCTTTGACGAAGCCGGAGCCTTTTTATCTTCTTCCGTAATAACAGCGGACGGATTTGACGTTCGAAAGCGATTCAGCAGAAGCAGCTTGAAGACCGGGAAAGTTCGGATACGAATTGGAAAAGTTTCACATTGGTTTTCTGGTGTCGGCAGATTATCGTGGCTGAGGCAGCAGCAGCTCAAGCTCGCTGCGAGAAGGGACGAGAGGAATCCTGGGAAACTCTGGCGACAGGAGACCGGGAACCGGGTGATCGGCGAGCTAAGGAGCTTGCAGAGGGGCAGACTGAGGCATGACGGGTACGCCAGCGATTCTGCAGTCCTCGATGACGATGACGAAACCTGGATGCCGCATTCTGTGTCCGGACAGGTGAGACATCCTGAATTAATTATCGCTAGACTTTATATGAATTCTCGCATTCATTAATCATTTTCTGAAGGTCTAAAGAAGGGAATTTCTTTGATCGATCAGAAAATTCCTTTGGGATAATGGAATTCATAGTTTACAGACAAAGTCTGTTCAGGTGTCAGTTCGTACAAAGATCCGCGGTTTAATTATCACTGAAAAATTATTCTTAATTTATTACTTTAAGACAGGCTGATGAGGCAATAATTAGCAATATCGTTAACGTTTATTAGGAACTTGTTAATAGTTACATAGTACAAACATTTGGTAAAATTACTGACCTAACACCTATTTCGATTACAAGCAGATCCGCGGTTTAATTAGCACTGAAAAATTATTTTTATTTTATTATTCTAAGACAGACGGTTGAGGTAATTGTTAGTACTATTATTAACGTCCACTAGAAACTTTTCAATAGTTACAAAATACAAACATTTGGTGGAAATACTGACCTACAATCTGTTTCGATTTGAAGCAGATCCACGGTTTAATTATCACTGAAAAATTATTCTTATTTTATTATTCTAAGATATACGGTTGAGCTAATTGTTAGCACTATTATTAACGTCCATTAGAAACTTTTCAATAGTTACAAAATACAAACATTTGGTGAAATTACTGACCCAAAACTTATTTGGATTTCAAGCAGATTAATAAAAATCTCGAGTATATTCGTCCAAAAGAGCTAACAGGTTAAAAAGGATTTTGCTATTCCTTATTAAATTGTATATTTTATAAAAGCGTTGCATTTGAACAAAGTATGAACAAAATCACACATATATAGTACAATTAAAGTAACTTGCACACTTTTCCAAGAGATTGGGACAGCTAACTGGTTAAGCAGGATAAGAATCACGTTAGAGTTCTTCGACGAGATTTTTTAGCTTCGAAATTATAAATAAAACTGACGAATGAATTTAGACGCAAACGAGGCAGCTTCCGTACACATCGGCGCCAGCGAGTCCTCTGCTTCCGCAGCGATCGAGCAGCCGGAAGTACAATGGGACCGCCGGAACCGGCACTTTGGGAAGGCCGCGCGCTGAGAGCGTGAACGAGCGTCCCTTCATGACAGTGAAGCGAGCTTACGAGTACCGCAAGTACGGCGAGAGCCAGGTAAGTGTCGGGTGCAAGCCGCGCACTCGATAGTCCATGGCTGTTAGTTCCGTCGGGATCGATCTTGCTTCCGCTCGTTTCGATGAAAGCCGGAAGACGCGTGTCGCCCGAGCCGGCGAAATCACGGAGCCGATCGTGCACGATAAATATTGATCGACTCGTTAAAATCGGGCCGGTGGCACGGAACCACCGGGCGGTGCTCTGTCCCGGAACACCGGGGCACCGGGCTACTTAAAATAATTGTCAATAATAAGGATAATAAATTCGAAACGGCGGCACGGATCGATCCCGGTATGCGCCGATGAGACGGCGGCAGCACGAACGCTACAATTTAGCCGCTCGGTAGACAGAGACTGTAAAAGCAACCACTTCTGCGCCATTGTATTTTATGGTTATGCCTCACAGTTAGATCCTAAACAGCAAGAAATCGACCCCCTTAGACCGTAGAGCCGCAAAACGATCGCGTAGTTATTGCCGGCGTACAGCTTAACCCTTTTCTAGTGCCTTCCTTTTCGACCGGCTGCTGTACAACGCGGAACTTGCCGTTGCGGAACCGGGAAACGATTCTGAGTCATTTAGGCGCTTTCTGCGACGAGCACGCGATGCCTTGCACACGTTGCGACAGAGTAGTTTCTCCCTGATTTGCGCGTTTTGGGCGATTTCGACAATTTGGGAAGAGGAGACACGATTATTCGAATCTGCTCTCGTTTTTTGTAGTTGTTGACAATCGGTGACTATAGAAAAGAAACCGCAAGGCTCGAATAATCGCATCTTCTCTTCTCAAATTGTTCAATTTTGTACGCAATCTGAGCGCCAATTAAAGAGAAATTATTGTAATCGGCTTTTTACCACTCACAAGTTTTATTCCAAATGTAGAATCGGTAGGCTGCGCATCTCGATTTTAATCGTCATTTTCGAATTAATTTGCAGCACAAATAAACGGACTCGTATTTATCAAATCTCGTCAGTACACATTATTTAAGAAGATAGTTTATGTTTAATCTTTATGGTTGCCACGAATGTAGAATTAACAGAAACATATTGCACCCAGTGTTTAATATTTGTGAAAAATATTTCACATTATAATTCAGTGAAAAATGTTTTCATAAGCAATAAACATTGATGGTAAAACGTGAGCTAAAACTTAATCATAAGATAAATGCCATCGAAATCAGTGAACATCATTGCCACTTCTCCATGTTAGATCCTGTCCAGTCTGGCAGTCAGTTTTTCATAATCATTGTACTCATGAAAAATATTTTTACGTCAAAGAACTCCATGGACATTCGTTCGAGCACCAAACAGGTCTTCGTTCTTCCCATTTTATTTTGCACACAGAATCGCTTCTCTCTTCCCAGCACCACCTGTTGCGAAATTCTCGCGAAACGTACGAAGGAAAATAGTCGAGTAACCGGGTCAGAAGGGACTCTAACCGCGCATTGTAAATACCTGTATAATAATACAATTAATCGACTAACGCGGGCGTGACTCGGTCGACGTTGCACAGATGGAATTCGGTAACTGGACCAGACCATACTTGCTTTATTATTAAAGAAGTCAGTCGTAAATTGTCTATCAAATTGCATCTTGCAGTTCGAACGCGGAGGCGCTTGTTTAAACGTAACTGCATAAATGCGCTGCAGATCTGCAGCATTTTTGACAAAAATAGACGAACGAGCTATGAGACAGTAGTATAATATTAGTGACTGATGAATAGACTGCGGATTTTCCTAATTTTGTAGAAAAATGAATAGACGAAATACGATATTGCGAAGTCACCAGACGAATTTAATAATATCGTTGCATTATTTTTGACCGTCTAAAATTATCAAACAACAAAATAGAAGACGCATTTTTTAAATTTTCGTCACAGTCTCGGACCAAACGGTTCAAAAACGTGAGATTCTAATATTTTCTCGTCGCTCTAAATAACAGCAAAATTAAAGAACACATTTAAGTCATTGTAAAGCGAACTAGTCTCTCCAACGTCTAAAAAAGATTCTTGTCGTCCAATTTTAAGAAAAAGTTACACCGTTTCGAAAGTGCACGAACAGATTTGTGATCCGCTGCAGTTATGGCCGGGTCCAGCTACGAAATTGGCCTGTATAGACCACGGAACCGCTGGCAGCACGGGAAGGATTACAGGCGGTAGGCCCCTCTAGCATGAAGCGCTTCGCTTGCTTTTCAGAGCCCTCCGACATCCCCCCGCTCAGGCTTAGTCGGCACGCAACCCTTAGGATTAACAATGCAGCAACAAGCCACGTTTATTAACACGGAGAAGCCGCAGCCGCAGCCGCCGCGGCCGGAATCGCGGAGCGACAGTTTCGCGCGTGCGGACGCTCTGTTGCGCGAGCATCGACAGCAGCAGCAACAGCTACCCGGTGCCGGGAGCACGGTCGCCGATCACCTGGACCAGAAGCAAACGCTGTCGCAGGATTTCGGCGAGCGAAACGCTCGGCCGGAGTCGCGGAACCGTTCAGTAGGTTACCAAAGCTTCGAGAGGAGTATGATCGTGAACGACAGGACCGTCGATCACGTGGACGCCGGCTTGCTGGCCGTCGTTGACCAGCAATCTGCTCAGGCGACCGCCCCGGATCCTCTCGTGAGCCTCATTCAATCGCTGGCCGATATTTCGCCCGTTCGATCGCCTCCATCCGTCACTAACAAGAACGAGAACGATCATCCCGCGAGCATCAGCCCGCCGGCGAACAATCCTGCGAGCAGCAACGCCACCGCTAACAACACCGGCACTAATTGCTCCCCTAACCAGTCGCCCAAAGCATGGCAGAATTGCACCCAGGTTTGTCCCGGCTACCGTCTCCTCCCGCGGAATCCTCACTTGTGGTTTCACTAGCATCGTGCCGCAGTAGTCGCTGTGCATTTACGGACGGTCAGTGAGTTCCGGGATACAGCGGCCGCGACAGAAGTGTCTCCTGGCTGGAGCCGGCTACCAGGGAACACTGGTCCAATTGGATTAGGTTGTTCGGCTTTCGCCGAGTGCCGCGTCGCTGATTAAGCTGGGGATTCTTGGCCGAGCTCTTGGGCTCGTCGGGTCCGTTGATAGAATTTAGAGGGTTCTTTGAGCATTTTATTCGATTCATTTGCGAGCATTAATCTGGTTCGCTGATTGTAGGAACGATGAAATGAAAGTGATGTACTTGGAGATAAAGATGCAGTTTGTTATCTGTACAGGGTTTTCGGAAAATTTTGGTACAACCGGCGAGGTGGTGATTCTACATGCAAAAATAAGTCGAGAAAGAGGAATAACGTTTTTTCATTTAGGGCTCCGTTTCTGGGAAAAATTAGGTTGAGAAAGTAATAGTATAGAATAGGAATCAACTGGCGCGTCTGGTCATGGTATGCCAGTTCTACTTATCGCCATATTACAAGCGAATTTGACGCATCTTTCAACTCGGTTTCCTCGCAAACGGAGCCTTAAATGATAAAATGTTATTCCTCTTTCTCGACTTATTTTTGCATGTAGAATCACCTCCTTGCCGGTTTTTTCGAACACCCTGTATATTATTAACAGTATCTTCATAAAACTGGGACAAATGACTTGTCTTTCGTAGAGATTTTAGACTGACTAGAACACTAGAGAACGAGTAACAAAAAGCCTGCAAAAATTGCAGTTAGTTGAAATTTAGCGACTTCGTCCTTCCAATCAATTGCAATTTTTACAAACTTTTTTTCCTCATTGTCTAGTAAACTAACATCTCGAAAATATCCAAGTCATTGCGTCCAATTTTGAAAAAGTTATTCCGTTCGAATAAGTATGAAAACATGTACTTCCGGTGGCGATTGTATGTTAATTAGCAAATTGTTCGTCGTCGACAATTCCTCTAATTAAACGAAACAATCTCCATTTCTCGTATATCTTCATATACGTTAATTCCTGAATCTTGACGACAGAGGAATCAAATTTAGTTTCGATTCAACGACGTTCATACTTATCAGACTATCTGCGAAATCTTCGTCAGTAGACTCGTTACAGCAAAAAATCGTCGCAAAGTAGAAACTCGAAGAACGATCGGAATCGTCTAAATAGCAAAATTTATCATCGATTAACCTGACCGTCCCGATGCACAGTTCTCGATTTAGTCAGCACAGTTTGATTAGAAATTCCAATTCGCTTGGCCCCGCTTCGCCTGACCGCACAAAGTGATTAGAAGCGTGCCTATTCTTGTGCAACCGTAACAGTCGCCGGAGACGAGTGCTCGCGAATGAAAGAACGATGTGAATTCACAGTCCCACAATGACTCGGCGTCATCGTGGACCGAGAGGAGCGTCAGTCCCGGAAGCGTGGTCGTCGGCAGCGCCTCGAGGCCTCAAACACCGGCGTTTCCGGTCCATCCTCGGACCCCGTACGTCAACAACTCGTCGCCGACGGTCACGTTCGCCTCCGACCGCTCGTACGTCACGTCGAACACCAGCTACAACCTGAACAACAATAACAACGTCAACAACGAGGTGGGCGGCAACAACAACAACAATGTCGGGAACTACGCGAGCGAGCGAACGATCTACATCGAGGAACGGAGAGACGTTTCCAAGGAATCGGGGCTTCCTCCCAAGAGTCCGACAACACAGAGGTGAGCGACCATGTTGTTGTCCCGATTGTACGACCATGTTTTATCGAGCCCCGATGACACCCCCGAATTTCCGAGTCAATAACGTTTGAGCCCTGTGACACTTGATTTTACAGTGTAATTGACACAAATTGACAGCGGCACAGCGTGGCGAACTTTATTTACCGAGGACCGTTCGTAGAGAGGATGTTGCTAATTTATTTATTCAGTGTGTTCCAAAAATGTCTCGCAATCCGAAAGTGGCGTGTTCCTCGGGTCATTTGAAGCAACTTCTTCCTTTGCAAAAATTTTCTCCGAGGCACCGTTAACGAGTTATTAACGAAAAACAGTGACCAATGAGAGGCGAGCTCGGCTGGCGCGAGGCGACCGAGCCAATGAGCGGAACTGGGCTTCGTGCGCTGGTTGGCTGGGCCGCCTCGCGTCAGCTGTACTCGATTCTTATTGGTCACTGTTTTTTGTTAATAACTCGGCAACGGTGCCTCGGAGAAAATTTTTGCAAAGGAAGAAGTTGCTTCAAATGATCTGAGGAACCCGCCATTTTCAGATTGCGAGACATTTTTAGGACAACCTGTATACCTTGTCTAGAATTCGTGAAAAAGTTCCCAGTGAAACTGGAATTTTCTTCCGAATTATCTAACGGATTGAGAGGAAACATTTGCAGTATCGACGCTAAGCTCGAACTAGTTTATCGAAGATTCTCCGGGCAGATTTTTTGAACGAGAAATTTTTAACGGGAATTATACTTCGAATCGTTATTGATGATCTTACTTCGTAATTGATAAAATTCCGAGTCTAATTATTCTTCTCGAGCAATTCGACAGAGCATCGATTATTTATGAGCGCGAGGCTGTAACTTCGAGATAATTTATCAAAGATTTGTCAGCCGGATTTAATGACATCGAAACTGAAATCTTATTACGAATCGTTATTGATGATCATACCTGTTGGTAAACATGTCGACGAATCACAGTGCATCCGCAAGTGCAAGGCTAAGCTCGAAATAATTTCCCGACGATTTGACAACGTGAGAAAGATGATGTTTGAAAGGACGGGAGAGGAGAATACGGGCGTTCGAGCAGTTAAAACGATGACACGTGGACAGACATTCGCGTTAAGAGTATTATTTTCGCGTTCCGCTGCCGCGGACGATCCTAGGCTATCTATATTTCACCGAGCACTGGCAGAGATACAAGGATTGTGACGCAGATTGATATTCGTGATTCTAGACGCTTGAGTTTCCCGGCAAGCGGGCCACTTAAACAAACGCATAACAAACGATGGCCGCTCACTAACCAATCGGCGTCGTTCGACTATAGGTAATATATCACCGAGATCACTGGGACTTGCGACTGTCCGTTTCTGAGCGATCGGTACCACCGCGATCGGTACCGCGATCAGAAGCGCGCGTCGATCCCGTGTCGATGCGTCGTGAATGTTTAATGTCGTGCCACTAACCGTGTGTGTTGGTACACTCGAATCGCAACTGCATCTCGCCTGCCGTCCGATTACACCGCGTTACACGAAATTTGATATTTCGTGTCCGCATGTAAATTCCTTCATTAATGTCCGCATCGAATGTTTACGCGCTGACATTCGCGTTCCCGAATTTCAACGCTTTGACGAACCGCACGACCGAATTCTTTGTCTAGATTCGAAAGACAATTTTCACGCCAATCTGTGTTATATTTTTTTAAATTTTATTCAGGGGATATTCTAAGGTAAATCGCGATTTTTTAAGTTTAATTTTCTTTGTGATTTTTGTTACGGAGACATTATAACAACTTCTGTAGTAATGTTTGCAAGATTTATTTACGCATTTTTAAATAACGTTTATACATTTTTTGGGTCAGATAAAGTTAAAATTCGATTTTTTAAAAATATGTAAAAGATACAAATTTTGAGTTGCCTTTGCTATACGGACTGTGTAAGTTTAATTAATATTATGGTCACTATTTTGAAATCACACTGTCGAGAAAAATACATTTAAAGTTTTGTATATTTCATAATATGTAAATATATGAATGATCAATCAGCTGTTCTTCTGAATTTTAAGAAAATCAAGTTTTTCGAAGATTGACGCTAGATTACCCCTTCAAGCTCCGTAGAACGTCCGAACGTTCAGAAAGCAATTGATACCGCAAAACTGAACCTGTCAATGTTCATTTGATTGCACAAAGTGCAGCAGCTTTACGAAATTTTGTCAAAGCGTTAAACGAAATTCGACGACCGTACACGCTCGTCCGAACGACGACTTCGATTCCTTGGTATCGACGCATAAAATTCGCAATGATCCTCCGGGGATGCAACGATTGCTATCGGAAAAGTAGTAAACGTATTGGGAAACCGGCGGATGCAGTTGCACCAGTTTGCAGCAGTAAGATAGAAACGAAGAGTGGAGACCGCGTCACTTTCGTCGTTGTGTGTATTGCACCTGTCGAACTAACAAAAGCTCGAGCTTTTTGCATCGTGTACCATACTGGAAAGAGCAT